GCTCCAAACACTGGTGTTACCCTGATTTATAGACAACGGGGTTTATGATATTATGAAACGTGTCAGTTTTAGGTTAAAACTCATGAGAAGGCGAGAGAGCATTCGCTAATCGCTAATATATCACCCATCATCATCACGTGTGGAAGACGCTGCGAATTTGAAAATCCTTTTTTTCCGATAACAAATTCTGTTTCTCGGGTGAACCGGCTTCACAGCTCAGTAGGTCTATGAAAGACTAGGGGATATTGTTTCCATTGACTATATTAGCACACACTGAGTTATAGATTTGTCTGTAAATGATGTGATTATATCATGATAAACCAATGTTTTTAAAAAATTAAAGTAGCCTATGTATGGCATTGGAAAGTCCAATTCATTTTAACCCTCATGTTGTGTGTGGGTCATTTTGACCCGGAGAGGATTTTCCTGCACCCGAAAATGCTAGTTAATGTTATTGTATTGAACTCAAATTTACTGACTTTACTCATCCAGAGTCGAAAAACTTCCTCTTTTTTTTTTAAATACTACTTTTTGTAATGTTTTGTGTTTCCATTGAATTTTAAGTTTCCAGCATGCTTTGCATACAAGAGTAAATGTTGCAATTAAGTATTATTTTATGTGTTTTTGAGTGAAAGGAAAGACCTGTTAATGTTTAGTGAGTTTCAGTTATGTTGAGGTTTTTATGGCTACCATTGTGCTGAAGAGTAGAGCTTATGGTAAATCTGTGTAACTAACTGCATGTATAAAGATGCTCCATCCAATGAGATAAAGCGTTGCTAATGTCAGTGCAGTAACAAGTATCGTTCTACTTGTGCTGTGCTAGTTGCAGACAGTCTTATAATTGTACAACACATAACTGAATGTAAACAAGTCTTTTCCATTTACTCAAAATCACAGACTTGAATATTTTGGAATCTACTCAATGTATTTGAACTGAAATAACTAAAAAACATTAAGTGCAACTAAAAATATATTTTTTCATTTGCTTGTAGTCTTAGAACAGAAAACGTAATACCATTCCAGAACAATTCAAATGCACAAACATTCGGGAAAGAGTATAAAATGTTGAAAAATAATCCTTTAAGCTGCACTTTTAAAAGTAAATGGTTTATTGTAGGCCAATACATGTCATCGTCTCCTTTTTACACCATTCATGGACCATGATAACAACCTCAAGGCTTTTAGCAGCTAGGTTTAGTCTTAAACCTGGTTTGACTTTTCTCTTGCCTGTCTTTCATATTTCTGTGTTTTAAAGATATAAAATGTGACCTCTTCTGTGAAGGATGGAAAGAGACACCTCAAAATGTGGATGATAACCCCAGTGGACATTCATTTAAGCACTAGTGATATTTTGTCTGATTTGGAGTAATTTGTTATTCTTCCTGGTTTGCTCTGTAGAATCGCAGGAGACTGTTTTCAGTGGCATACATCCATCTGGTTTCTCTGGGCTTCCTGGTTAATTCTCTTACCACCTGTTCAACATCTCGGTACCTCAGTACCACCGGCCCGCTCAGGAGAGCGCCTCATCAAACCTGAATGTCCACTTTAAAACTCACCGGGCTGTCAGAAGGATTAATATTGCCTCGGGCACCTGTGGGTTTACAGATAAATGACTTTCAATAACATGCCATCACTGATGTAGACTCCTCTCAGTCATATTCTTAATCTATTTATCTTTCAAATTAAATTCAAATAATGTTGGGTTTTGTTTCAGCTAAAATGGATTTTCATTTAAACATTTAATTACAAATGATATGTAGTTAAGCAAATGCACTTATTGACCCTTTCCACATTCCTGCGGTTCTCATAGCTGAAGTCATCATAAGAAGATCTAGTAGTAGTCTACCTTTTTTTTAACAAAAGCAAAGCAATCGTCATTTTTTTTGTAGCGTCGTACCGTATTTTAGCACGGCTGTAACGCTTTATTGACGCACCAGAATTGCAACTATTAATTGTATTCACTAATTTTACCATGTTGTAATATTGTAATAAACACTTTTATTCTACCCAAGTCTATTTTATTTGTGTAAAACATAACATCTCGTTTCAATGCAGTTCTACATTATTGATACCGCCATGATGAGCAAGTAAAAACTGACACTGGGATAATTTCTTATACGACAAATTTCCTCAATTTAGAAGAAGACAATTAAGTTTTTTTTAAACTGTATGTGTAGGCTATATCCACACGGTAGCCGCAAACTACAATTTGCTGTCATCATAGTCATGTCTAAACGGCCCCAGATTTCAGTCTTTTACATAAACTTATGTAGATGACAGATTACCAGCTTGAAAATACTGTAGTTTAACTCCACAAACTATTGAAGTTATAGTCAATGTAGGTTTTTAAGACTATATAGGTCTATGATAATTTGAATATAGTTTTATAATATAAATCACCCTACAGCAATTTCAAAGACATCTAGAAATGTGGAAAAATGTTCCAAGTCAGAATACCTGACTGCGATGAGTCTTTTTTTTAGCTTATTCACCGTATCCCCCAGAGTTAGATAAGTCCATACATAACGTTACCCTTTTCATCTCCGTGCGTGCCGTAACTCTGTCTGACGCACCCACCGCTAGCCTAGCTTAGCACAAAGACTGGAAGGAAATAAATGGCTCCAGCTAGCATACTGCTCCCAATAGGTGCCAAAATAACCCCAACATTTTCCTATTTATATGTTGTGATTTGTATAGTCACAGTGTGTACAAATAACAAGGTCATATGAGACACAGACATCTTTTAACCGTATACATATGGGGGGAACTATATTCTCAGAAGGCGAAGCACTGCTACTTGGGCGGAGTGATTAGCGCAACACTCTGAGCGAACTCTCTGCTCCTCACCACGGGGCTTCTCAGGTGCTGCGAGCAAATCACTCCGCCCAAGTAGCAGTGCTTCGCCTTCTGAGAATATAGTTCCCAGTATTTATACGGTTAAAAGATGGCTGTGTCTCATATGGCCTTGTTATTTGTACACACTGTGACTATACAAATCACAACATATAAATAGGAAAATGTTGGGGTTATTTTGTCACTTGTTGGGAGCAGTATGCTTGCTGGAGCCATTTACTTCCAGTCTTTGTGCTAAGCTAGGCTAGCGGTGGGTGCAGTGTTGCCAGATCTCGCGAGACAAATAAGCAACCAGGCCCGTGAAAACAAGCCCAAAACAAGCGACTTTTTCTCATAGACAGTAAAAGAGCTTTTTCTACGGAGCCCCCCTAGGTTCCGGGAAGAGAAAAATAAATAAACTGTGTGCACGGTTTTAAAATCCGTGGGGAGGGATAGTTTTAAACTGTGGGTACAGATTGTCAATTTACATCCATGTGGACAGATTGTTAACAGCGCAGTTGTGTAAAACTGTGCACACGGTACAGTTTATTTTTCTTCAGTAATGAAGCTTGGCTGTCCATCTAGTGAAAAATGTTGGTACTGCGCCCAAATAAAATCTCACTAAAAAGCTAATTTTTTGAGATATCAACCTAAAATTTAGAACACAGCTTCTTCAGATTTGTGGCTTACATTTTCTTGCAGTTTTAGAGTAAAATATATTTTGTAATATATATATATATATATATATATATATATATATATATATATATATATATATATATATATATATATATATATATATATATTATAGAAAATATAAATTATATTTTTACATTGTTCATTTTCATAAACTCAAACTTCTATAACTTTTTTTCTGTTTCACTTTCATAATTTCATAATACTTCACTTCAACAATAATATGGCAAATGTCTTCTTTAAAATAAGACCAACCATGGGTCTATATTCCAAAGCATTCTTGAATTACAACCATTTAAGTTTGGATAGTGATTTTCATGTCTATCTATGCGAAAAAAGGGGGAGTGACAGTTAAAGGGTTAAACAAATATTAACTATAATATCTATATCTATAATATCTAAAATATAATTAATATATAAAAACTCTCCTACAGTCCAGTCACCATCAGTCGCGACTCGCATGTATTTTCATTTAAACGTCACTCATTGACGTTTTCCTAACCAGAAAAAAAAAACGATTGCCCTGCTCTGCCTCTGATTGGCTAGTACTCGTTGCCATCTGGGTCAGAGCCAATTAGAAGCAGGATGTGGGTGGGAAAAAACTCTACTGTCTCCTGTGTTTATGGGGAAAGGGGAGGGACAGGCAAGACAACAGGCAAGACAAACTCCTACGTTTAAATAACATATAGAAAATATCTGCTTGACAACGAGCTGGGAACAAGCCCAAAGAAGCAACTACACTTTAGAAACAAGCCCAAAAAAACCGCGACCCGCGACTACCAATATTTGTACGCGACTTTACAGAAAAGCAAGCCCAAAGTCGCTTATAATAAGCGGACTTGGCAACACTGGGTGGGTGCGTCAGACAGTTACGGCACGCACGGAGATGAAAAGGCTATGTATGGACTTATCTAACTCTGGGGGATACGGTGAATAAGCTAAAGTCCCAAAAAGTCCAGTAGCACCTCAATGCAGTACATAAGATCCACGGGGAGGAGTCGGATCAAGATCCAAGGGGTGGAGATGGGTGGGTTTAGGGATTAGGGGTGTGTTTAGGGATCAGGGGGCGGAGATGGGTAGGTTTAGGTATATGTAAGGTGGGAGGAGTTGGATCTGGATCCGACTCCTCCCCGTGGATTTCATGTTCTGCAGTGAGGACCATCTCAAAAAGTCGGCGTGTTCCTTTAAAGCTACTGGAAAATCTAGCTAAAACCAGATTGGTATCAGTTGGGATCTGTGTTTTGTAACGTAGTGGCTGCATGGTTTCTAGCTGGTTCACGCTGATTTAGGTGGTTGAACATCCAGAACTATACTTTAGGATGGTGTGACCTGGTCATTCCACCTGGTGTCTTCACCACCTGCTAGTCAACTACATAAACCAGCTTAGAACGGATAGAAACCAAGTATGTTATCCCAAAACCAGGTTTGTGCATTTATAATCAAACCGAAGACATTACAACATTTTCTGTCCATCATGATCCTCAGGAGCCTTTTATTCATTGATGTTAAACATTCAACTTGATAAGAAGTCCATTTCAAGAAGTAAACAGTTGTTTATTGTGTTTGATGTCCATTTATCTCTCCGGGCCTTCTGGAGATTATTTTTGGTTTTTCTCGGATTCCTGTTTGTCCTTTTCCATTTGTTCCTGCTCTTTGGCGTCCAGTTCTATCAGTTTATCCTGCACGTCTTTGGGAATCTCCACCTCCATCAGATTCTCCATTCCCTCCTCCGGCTCGTCTCCAATCAAAACCTTAATCAAAGACAAACACAAAAATGGCACATGAAACCCTAATACGTTCCGTCAGAGTCGCATATCAAGAGAAAAGTGGTAATGGCGCAGGACAAGAGCTAATGAGATGCCAGACAGCACTTGAGTTTTACTGTCATTCCCAAGCACCAATTTCGGGAACCCGACAACATGGAAAAACTTCAGTAACATGATAGCTGTTAAAGTCGTGTTAGTTAGAAACTGCTGCATTATGAAAAAGCACCCGTTAATCCTGGATAAATATTAGCCTCGTTCTGTGCTTGGCATATTAGCTGTTTTATTGACGCTAATTAAAATGGTTGGGTTGAGGCAAATGGCCGAACCACTGCTTCTGGCCCGGAGTTCAAAAGGGATCTCCCAGACGTTATGGAGAATATCATGCTTTAATAGGAGACCCTGTGACATCTTTTCCATGGGGCCGTACCCAAATATAAGCCTGCCACGGTGCAAGGAACAGGCTTTTTCCACCAAATTAGTGTCTCCTGCTTTTTTCAACCAAACTCATAAATCCTGGTTTTGGAGGACTGGAACTGATCTGCATACTGTCTGGGGTCTTCCAAAGCACAACAATCCACATCCACAGAAAATGTTGCAAAAAGTGACCTTGCAAAAGTGATGCAATAGAGATGCAACAGCAGGGTCGTGCCACGGGGGGGTGGGGGTGGGCGCGAGGAGGCGTCGCCCCCTAACCCGGACTATCCTGCCCCCTCAGTCATGATGTGAAGAATGTAAAAATGTATTTTAAAGGCCCATTTTAAAATTGTATTCAATGTGTTGATGTAATTTCCACTGAAACAGGAAGAAGGGGCGGGGCATATCAAACAGCTCCTCCCCTTTTATAAAATAGCCAATAGCGTTTAGTTTCTATCACAGTTCGGCCAGAGCCGTTGAGCTCTGGGAAAGCTGCAGTTTGCTCCTAATCTCTAACCGTTTCTCCTCCATATCGCTGTAAAATACAGTATTCTGTTCAGAATTCAAACGGGTTCGATTCGTTTTCTGGATCTGCGGCGACTCCATCACATGATCCGCTGTGTGTTTCGTGTCTCTGAACCGGAGCTGCGGCGGTTCGCGTGACACTAACGTGAAACCAGACTTCATTCGCCCCACTGGAAAGATGATTTACACAGTCTGAATCGTTCCCTATCCCCTATATAGTGCACTATGAACATTCAGCATGTAGAAAATGTGTGAAAAGTGACCGATTTCAGCCGCAGCTTCTGTTTATAATGTAGGGGGCGGAGCTTCAGATTCTAGAGAGCATTTGATTGGACAGAATATCAGATGAGGAGCTGAAGTGCAGAGCGATGTCATCAAAACCATTGATCCTTATTGGCGGAAATGAGAGACTGTTTTGACTAAGTTTTGAATGCTTATATCTTCCAAATGTGAATTTTGTCATTGTTTTGGAGCACACTAGATTACAGATAACAGAAGGCTAACATATTCATACTAAAAGCCAAAAAACATTTCAACTCGTATATAATCTTGAATGAGTTTTTTTCACTGAGCTGATTGCTTAGTGAAAAAAGCAATGTTTTTCCATAAAGGATACATGAAATGCTGCCTAAATATTTTCAGAGTAAAGGCCTGTTCACACCGGGACGAATTTCGCGCGCGATATTCGCCGACGTTTAACGCCTCGTGACTAAACAAAGGGCGCCAATGTGAGTGTGCACACCGACACGAAAAACGCCACGCGTAAAAGCGTAATTTTTTTTAAAACGCCTCGGGTTCGTTTTTTTAGTTTGACGCGCCGCGTCAAAAACGATCCGACCAATGAGATTGGCGCTTTTGCTCACGTGTCTGGAGCTTCTGAAGTTACAGTAAAACACAACTTGGGGGCGCTCAAACACAAAACGGTCTTGCCGAGCACACATATGTAACGGCGAAGAAGATATACGCCAAGTAGCGTCTACACCATAGATATCCATAATAAAGGCTAACGTTAGATGTCTCGTCCGCGCTGCTGGCCAATGGCCTTTATTATGGATATCTATGGTCTACACTGCCGAGGAGAAATAAGACGAGGAAGATGCGAGGCCAGATGAATGTAGAGCTGCTGGTCTCGTTGGTGTCGGAACATAAAGAACTAAATGACAAACGCGACAGCGACTACAAAATAGGACTATTTAGTATAAGTATTTTACATTAAGCGCCATCTAATGTCAGGGAATGAATTTGCGTGTTCACTCGGCTCAACGTCAGCGAAAATCGCTTGGGTGTGAACACAAAAAACGCGTTGAAAAACGCTGACCAATAACGCACGCCGATATTCGTCCCGGTGTGTACGAGCCTTAATCTTAACAATACCTGGACGAGTTTCTCACAGGCTGAAGTAACAAATGGATCTTTCTCCCATCTGTCAAACTCCCTCATGATGGGATAAACGTTCTTGTCCTTCATGATCTGTCGGCCCAATCTAGTAGCTGTAAGCTGAACACAAACAGATCATTAACAGACTGAACGACAGAACAGACTAACCAACATACAAGAGGAAACATATAGTGATTATACACTACTGTTTAAAAGATTGTGGTCAGTATGTTTTTTTATTTTTTTAAGAAATATATACTTTTGTTTAGCAATGATGCATTAAATTGATTTAAAGTGGCAGTAATGACTCTTACAATGTTAAATTTTTTTAAATAAATGCTGTTCTTTTGAACTTTCTATTTATCAAATAATCCTGAACACAAAGCATCATGATTTTCACTAAAATATGAAGCAGATCAACTGTTTTCAACATTGATAATAATCATAAATGTTTCTATTAGAGTGATTTCCGAAGGATCATGTGACACTGAAGACTGGAGTAATGATGCTGAAAATACAGCTTTGATCACAGGAATAAATTACTTTTGACTATATATTCACATAGAAAACAGGTATTTCAAATTGCAGTAATATTTCAGAATATTACTGTGTTTTTGATAAAAAAAATGCAGCTTTGGTGAGCAGAAGAAACATTCAAAAACATTAAGAAATCTTACCGACCGCAAACATTTGAATGGTAGTGTATGTCAATTATTGAAACACAGGTAAATGATAGATATGAGATGTGGTTCATACGAGAATGAGGGTTTCTAAGAGCATCTTGCGGATATCAGGATCCTCTTCTCTCTTTTTATCCTCCGGCAGATACTGCAAGTCCACCGGCAAACCTGTACACACACATACTGAGTTATATGAATAAATCGGGTGTGTGATTGTTTTACTGTTAATATAGTGGTGCAAAAATGACACACTTCACCTTTAAGACACTGTCTGAAGTAAAAATATAATAAGCGATAAGAAAAGTGATGCTTGCCAATTATATAACTCGAACATACTGCAAATTAAAGTAGTATTTTTGGGCTAATAGTGATAGACCATGAAAGCACTTCAGAAAGGTCATATAAGGCCACCTATTAACTAGGAAGGTTATTAGCTATTTTGGTCAGAAAGCATGGTGCTTTAAGAGGAGAATATGGTATATATAAACATTTCAAACAGCTTTTATGAAACCACAAACTTTGAACTAAGATTCTAACTTCGCAAATTCACAACTTCCTGCTGTAATGGCAGTATTTCCACTCAGTTCATTTCATTTTCCTTACACATGTTGTTGGAAATACGATAAACATCAAAACGAGTAAACACCGCCATCTACTGGACAAGCGAGAGTGTTGCAACAGCAGTCAAAGGAGAGTTAAAGGGATACTCCACCGTTTTTTCATATTAAACTGTTATTCCCTTAACTAAGACGAGTTGATACATTCCTCTCTCGTCTCAGTGCGTTCCCTCAATCGCGCGAGACACTTTGTTAGCACTTAGCTTAGCCCAGTTCATTCATTAGGTGCCAAACAGATAAGCGACCAAACACCTCCACGTTTTACCTATTTAAATACAGTTACACGAGTAGTGTAACTTGACCAAGAACGGTGACACAAAATAAAACGTTGCGCTTTTCTAAGCGTGTAAAGTGGATAACTAATGTATGGCGGAATACCATAGCAAGTGCTTGGGAGCACTTCGACTCGGCGCAGTAATATCATCACTCGTGAAAAGTCCTCTCCCCCCGCTCCCTTTCCGGAGTGATGATATGATGATGATATATATGCGCCGAGTCGAAGTGCTCCCAAGCACTTGCTGTGGTATTCCGCCATACATTAGTTATCCACTTTACACGCTTAGAAAAGCGCAACGTTTTATTTTGTGTCACCGTTCTTGGTCAAGTTACACTACTCGTGTAACTGTATTTAAATAGGTAAAACGTGGAGGTGTTTGGTCGCTTCCCTGCTTGGATCCTAATGAATGAACTGGGCTAAGCTAAGTGCTATCAAAGTGTCTCAGCAAGACACTGAGACGAGAGAGGTATGCATCAACTCATCTTAGTTAAGGGAATAACAGTTTAATATGAAACAACGGTGGAGTATCCCTTTAAGTCATTACTAACAAATATGATATGAAGTACTTGGATCTGTAAGGCTTGAATCTGATATAAAGAGCATCACCTTCATTCTCTTCCTCGGAGAGCTCCTCTGGTCCAGCCAATGGTAATAAAAGATACGGTAAAATATCCACCGCATCACTAAGCAACCACTCATGATGGGCTGTAGGACAAGAAAGATAAATGCACACATTTTTGCATTGACTTTCCTTTCAATGCTAGAAGTTTCAGAAATGAAATGACACGCTCTTCCCCGTCTCCACAGATGATTGAGCTGTGTACCGTGGTCAAAGCAGCAGTTCCGGAGCGTTCCCACCACTCCTCCTCGTCTGGTGCTCGAGTGCTCATACTGTGTGTACGGCAGAAGCCTCTGAATCACACACCTGTACAAACACACCGCAAACAATATATAACCACTGTCGTACTATCAACTACCACTGTTTTACCATGCTTTTGGAGATCTACCATGATAATATCATGCATTTGTTGCCTGTACCATGATAATATCATGTTTGTATTTTTTTACATGAACTATGCTAACAGTTTTTTCCCCTGTACCACGATAATAAAAAAAATCGAACATGTACTATAGTAATAACATGTTTTTTTAACCCAATCAATGATAATTCCATGTATTTTTTACTATGAATACCATGTTTTTGGATATGTTCAATGGTAATATGTTTTTTTACCTGTACTATAATAATACCATGTTTTTGACATGAACTATTTGTAATATCATAGTTTTTCCCCTGTACCATGATAATGCAATATTTTTGGGCATGTAATATGATAATATCATGCATTTTTAAGCCATATCATGATAAGATCATGTTTTTGAACATGTACTATGGTAATATCATACATTTTTACTCCTACTGTGGTAATACCATGTTTTTGAACATGAACTATGGTAATAGCATATAATCTTTTACTTCTACCATGGTAATATCATGTTTTTTGAACATGTCCTATGGTAATATCATGTATTTTTATTCCTACCATGGTAATACCAAGTTTTTGAATGTAAAATGGTAATATCGTTTTTTTTTTACTTCTACCATGTTTTTTTAACATGCACTATGGTATCATGTATTTTTACTCCTACCATGATAATACCAAGTTTTTTAACATGTACTATCATGGTAATATCATGTATTTTTACTCCTACCATGATAATACCATGTTTTTTTTTAAACATTAACTACGATAATATGCATTTTTACTCCTACCATGATAATACCATGTTTTTGAACATGTTTCACAGTATTATGGTTTTCTTTTACCTGTACCATGATAACACCAAGTTTTTGGACATGTACCATTGTAACATGTTTTGTTTGACACATACTATAATAATACCATGGTTTTGGGAATATGATACACGTAGTGATTGTGTACCTGTCCTTGTCCAGAATGAAGAGCCGTGCCTCGGGCAGCTGCGTGAGGTTCGACAGCAGGGGTCCCAGATAGTGGAGGGAAGCTTTCTTATTGAAGTCCTGGTTGCAGAAGACTTCCACCAGTCTGTCCAGTCCGATGTCCTGCTCCTGCAGAGCCTTGAACACGTCTCTGCACGTCCGCTCGTGTCGGCTCAGGTTACTGAGGATGGTGCAGATCCGATCCGCAAACACGTACTCCGGGTCCAGTAGTTTCGGCAGCAGTTTGGCCAGTAAGACCGTCTCTGTGACCAAAGGCTGGTGAAGAGTCTCGTCCGCTGAGAGGTTAATCAGGGCATGAAAACAGTCCTTGACGATGGCGATGGAGGGGTCGCTGGTTAGAGTCACCAGGGCTTGGAGAAAGTCTGGTCTGGACTGCAGGTACCGGCACCCGTCCCGGTTTCCCGTGAGGCCCAGGACGTATTCCGAGGCCTGACCTTTGAGATCAGCTCTGGTCTCCAGAGTGAGAAATGACAGCAGTTCTGTAGCTTCTCCATCACTAAGCATCTTGGCTCTTGGGACAGACTCAAGAGTTTAATCCTGATCCTTTTCCTTTTAGTCAAACCTCAAAAGAAAACACAGACCGTTTAAGCACTATCTTAATAATAATAATAATAATATCAGACTAAAGTCTAAAGTCACAGAATAAAAATAATAAAATCAATAATTTAAAAGATAAAATGTAAAAGTTAAATTTTTTCTAAAATGTCACCTTTATTTCAATAAACAAGAACTATTTTTATTGGTTTCAGTATTATTCAACAATAATAAGTTTTATTCAACCTGCAAAAGAAAACACTGATAGACACTGATAGTTTAAGAACTACCTTAATAATAACAATAATAATAATATCAGACAGCTAAAAATAAAATAAATAAAAATTAGATTACAATTAGCACGAAAAGACTAAAAATTCCAGTCTTAGTATACATCAAAAAGCTATTGTATTTCTATCACTGTACCATGGTACTACAGTACACATGTTTTATAAGTAGTCAAAGTTTATTATGATTGTGTAGCATCAAAAAAGTGCAAAATAATAATCATAACAAACCGATCGCCATGTTTACAGTATAACTTACTGAACAAGCAAAGACTAAAATCTGACCTATCATAGATCTACAACTGTATAGAACGCAGAAAATATGTGATTAATCATTTTGTTTAATTTTTTGTATTTGTTCAAATAGAATATACATACCACATTGGCGAAATACAGAAAACATGTGCGTTGAATGGAGTTCCTGCTGAAGGAATTGACAGATTCCTGATCCAATCAGATTACACATTACGCACATTTTTTTCCCCGGACTGGCATATGATTGGTCGGTTAACGCCAGGCTCCGCCTTCGCTGCCCGCTCCTCGCGCTTTGTGATGACGCACAACACACTGCGTGTGTTTGAAACATGGCAGCAGTTCAAGTGAGCGAAGCGGAGAAGGTTTATCTTATGCATGGTGTTAGAGTAAGTGAAATCGCACGATTGAAAATATAATGTGTTTTGAATTAATAGGACATCTGAAAAAAGCCTCTTAACACGTATTCTGACGTGGTCTGTTTGGGGTTTTAACTCATGCTGTGTTGAGATTGACTATTTGTGGTCCTAGATTTAAGTTTAAATTCAATTTTTTCCTTCTTTAAATGTGTCACTGCCCTAAACAACCCCCTTTGACAGCTCTTAAATGTAAATGTATACAACAATAAAGCAAATGTAAATAAAGAGAGTGTACCACTACAACATCTGAAACCCCAAAAGACTTACATTTGTCATGGGAGATGTTTGAAGTGTGTTATCCACCTGAAATGAAGTTTATAATCAGTTCTAATGAGATTTGGAAACATAATGAAGCATTAACCTGATGTTGGTTGTTAGAAGATGAGGGTTAAACTGTGACTATTGTTGACAGGATGACCTGAGATTGGATGGACGGAGATGTGAAGACTACAGACACATGGAGATCGAGACGGATGTGGTGTCAAACACTGATGGTTCTGCTAAAATCAGTCTTGTAAGCTGAATTAAACAGTTTCTTATAATAACATATAGTGCAATACCTGTCACCAACAGTGTTTGTGTGTGTTGTGTGTGTTTGACAGGGTCACACTGATGTTCTCGTGGGAGTAAAGGCAGAGATTGGTAAACCCAAAGCCATGGTACCCGATGAAGGTTATCTGGAGTTCTTCGTGGACTGGTGAGAGTTTAAAGATGAACACGTCATCAAGCAAACACTGTGAATTACCACCAGCTCCACCAAGACTTTTAAAAATCATTACAAATCATTAAGAAGAATAAAACATGAAGTACATAATGCATGTGTGTTGGTTTACATGAATAGTGGGAGCTGTATTTTTTTATTATTATTTATATGCTATTGTAGTACTTATTAATAATTTGAGTTGTTCATATAAATAATATTTAAAAAATAAATACATTATATATAACACTTTTCATAAATATATATTTTTTTATTGTTTTCATTTTAGTTTTACGGTTTAGTAGTTTTGTCATTTGTTGTATTAGTTTTTGTTTTTTATATTTCTATTTGGGTTTGATTTATTATTTCAGTTTTAAATTTAGTAATTCATTGTAAAGTTATTTTATGTAGCCGAATGCAAAATTTAAAAATATATATATATTTTTAATATTTGGGATTTTATTTTATTTCAGCTTTATTTCAATTAATACTTTTTTTAAATATTTTTTTATTATTAGTAGTCAACAATAACAACACTGGTTCCAGGTCTGGAAAAGTCATGGACATTTCTATAGGGAATATATATTTTTAGTTATAACTCTACAATATTTAAAAAACTAAGTTAGTTCTGTTTAAGCAGTTCTCTATAGAAGCTTTTTTCTGCCATAGAATAAAACAATTTGAATGATAATTGCAACTTTTTATCTCGCAGTTCTAAAAAAAATTGCCAGTTTATGTCACACAATTCTGAGAAGAAAAACTATAAGAGAAAAATTCACAGTTACCTTTTTTATTTTTAATTCTGTGGCGGAAACAAGCTTCCATAGTTCTCCCATGAGCCATATTCAGTAAATTTTTTGTTTTAAATATATTTATTTATATAAAAAAATGTAACTATTAAAACAGATAAATTCCAAGGATTAATGAATGAGATGCAGCACAATTAATAAGACGGTATACTGTGCAGTTTATTAGACAGTTTACAGCATGTGTAGAGGTACGTACAGTACATAATTGAGCAGTGCAGGAACTTCAGTGTATAAATATGCAAATTAGCAGTGAATATCCATAGATGATGCGTTTTAAAGGTCCATGATGCTTGCCGTTTCTTCTGCAGCTCAGCGAACGCCACTCCGGAGTTTGAGGGCCGTGGGGGGGAGGAGCTGGGGGTGGAGCTTAGTAACGTCCTCTATAAAGTGTTCAACAACAGGCACAGCGTGGACCTGCGCTCGCTCTGCATCCTCCCGGGGCAGAACTGCTGGGTGCTGTACGTGGACGTGCTGGTGAGTGGACCCGAGAACAGCATCCTGAGGTTCACTTCATAGTGAGACGTGTATGCTGTAGTTTATTCTTCAGTTAATGCACGACTGTCTCGACAGCTGCTGCAGTGTGACGGAAACCTGTTCGACGCCATATCCATCGCAATCAAAGCCGCTCTGTTTAATACACGGTGAGTTACTGTGTGTGTGTTCCCATCAGAACTGGAAGTGGGCTATTTTAGTATTATTTATAAACTATTATAATATTTTCTTGTTATTTATTTGTATATTTTCAGTCGTCATTTTAATTTTTGTTTTTTATTAGTAATTTTATGCAATTTCATAATTTTATTAGTTTTAATTTTTTTATTTGTTATAGTAATTTTAATACTTCAACTTATTTCAGTTGTTTGCCAAGGCAAAATTTCTAATTGTAACATTTTCCATCTAATATTTATATTTTATTTCATTTCAGCTTTATTTAATTGAACAATTGTCTTAGGTGACATAGCACAACTGTTTCAAGTCATTTTAAAGTCTGATTTTTTATGCTGTTATTATAGTTATTATATTTTAATTTTAGTTTGTTTTAATCATTTTTTTTTTTTTTTTTACTTTTTTTTTTTAGCATAATTATTATTTCAGTTTTAGCAATTTTAGTACTTCAACTTATTTAGGTTGGTTGCCAAATCAAGTTTTTCATCTAATATTTACATTTTATTTTAACTCTATTTAATTTAACAAAAACAAAAAAAAATGTTTTAGTTAACAATAACAATAGCAAACCTTTCTTTAGTGAATATGTATATTTTTATTTATATTCTACAATATTTAATCAGTTAAAGCAGTTCTCCCATAAGCCATATTTAGTATATTTCAGGACCTTAAACTTACTAAAAAGTTTAACCATTAAATCGTATAAATTCCAAGGATTAATGCATTCAACTGTAAATCCACCATAAAATTAGTTTTTTATGCATTAATCATAAACATTCAAAATGGTGATTCAATGAAGTGATGAGAAACGTAAGCGCACCCCTTTCCCGAAACAGAATCCCCAGAGTGCACATATCTGAGGATGAGGAGGGCGGGAAGGAGATCGAGCTGTCAGACGACCCGTTCGATTGCATCCGGATCAATGTGGAGAATGTGCCGTGTATCGTAACCCTGTGCAAGGTACAGCAGAGCCTGGGCCAGTACCCACAATGCACCACTCTCCTCATGTCATATACAGTTACGTCAGGGAATGTCTAATAAGGGGAGAACTCCCACTCTCAGTAAACTTCCGGCTTCTGAACTGGTTGCAGTTCCACTCTAGGTCCACATAAGGGCGCTCACAGGACGAGTGCAGAATGAATGGAGGTCTATTGAGAAATACCCCTCAAAATCCACTTTTCTCAGGATATAATTTTTTGTATAGTAATTTGAATGTTGTTTTCGAAAGGAGATGCAAAGAAATTACAGATTACTGGGTGTTCGATTTTTTAGAGTCACTTATTTGCTTTAAAAAGTCTTCAACCAGAGATACTGCTTTACGGCAATCCTTCAGTCACTTTCCTTTCTCTCGAGGCATCGACAACACAGCTGACACAGGTAAACACACGTGCTAGAAGAGTTAAGAACGCCTTAACATTCTGGTCCCACTTCGGATGCCATCAAGCGGTGTCTCTGGTCGTAATCAGTCCTTCACTGACCAATCAGCGTCCATTAGCAGAATGCTAGCGTGTTATGGGCAACAAATCGAAAGGACCTAAGTACTCGTTCATTCAACTGTCGACCTATAACCCATGTTGAACTTGCAAAACCTACATTCAAATCTGAGATTTCTCAACGGCAATCGGGTGAAAGAGACAAATTTAGCCGTCTAGCTCCATAGACTCCCATTCATTTTGCACTCGGACGATCGCCCCCAGTGGAACTCTGGTGGAACTACAACCAAAATTCGGTACAATAGGACTTAATAGGGAGTGGCCAGGCTTTCCGTAGACGGGCTTTGGTTACGTTTAATGTAACCTTTTTATATGGTGTGTGTTTGTGCCCTTCAGATCGGTCACAGACACGTGGTGGACGCCACACTGCAGGAAAAGGCCTGTTCTGTGGCCAGTCTCCTGATCTCAGTCACACACAAAGGAATGGTCACATGCGTCAGGAAGCTGGGAAGAGGAAGCCTGGACCCGGAGAGCATCTTTGAGATGACAGAGGTCAGGTTATTTCTTTTCCCACAGTAGTTTTAAACTTTCTTGATCTTATAATTAGTGGTGTTTGCTAAGGAATCACTTTTACTCCTAAAGAGTTTGTTCAAAGCCCTAACCCTGCAAAGCCTGACACATGGCAGAATAGTCCCAAATATATAATTTTTTTAACATAGAACCTTTAGACAAAATATGCAACAAAAGCATACAAAAAAAGTTTGCATATGTGTCAATAAAAGCATCATTGATCAGACTTTTATGGCTCATTTAGTATGATATAGTAAGAAAATGGAGGGGATTTTATTCCGAGGCCCAAACTGAGCAAAAATATGCAATTGCATTTGCTGATGTTTATATGGCCAAAAAGTAAGATTTAATTCTGATGCTTGTAAATTAAATCAATGAGATCTTTATAACAGGGACTACTATCATAAAATCCAAATAAATATCAGTTGTCCCTTCATATCTTTCAATAATCTGTTGTAGTAAGATGATATTTAATGGGTTAGTTTATAATCAGAGCTCTGTAGTTTTTAGTTTGGGTGACAACACATAATGCAATTAAATACAATGATAATTGAGAGAAATAAGTGTTAATCAAAAGCCTGATGGATCATATTTTATATATCCCCCCCACCCCCCACACAAACAAAATGCTGTGTGGATAATCAACATTTTACTATCAATATAAAAGTTATTCTTATGTCTACTTTATAAACATCAGTAAAAATTTCACAGCGAAAAGTTGAATCTACAACAGGTTTCTAATAGTGCTGTCAAACGATTAAAATATTTAATCGCGATTAATCGCATTAATGTCATAGTTAACTCGCGATTAATCTCGTTGATGTCATAGTTAACTCACGATTAATCGCATTAATGGCATAGTTAACTCACGATTAATCACATTAATGTCATAGTTAACTCGCGATTAATCTCGTTGATGTCATAGTTAACTCTCGATTAATCGCATTAATGTCATAGTTAACTCGTGATTAATCGCATTAATGTCATAGTTAACTCGCGATTAATCGCATTAATGTCATAGCTAACTCACGATTAATCGTGTTAATGTCATAGCTAACTCGCGATTAATCGCATTAATGGCATAGTTAACTCGCGATTAATCGCATTAATGTCATAGTTAACTCGCAATTAATCGCATTAATGGCATAGGTAACTCGCGATTAATCGCATTAATGGCATAGCTAACTCACGATTAATCGCATTAATGGCATAGCTAACTCGCGATTAATCGCATTAATGGCATAGTTAACTCGCGATTAATCGCATTAATGTCATAGCTAACTCGCGATTAATCACATTAATGGCATAGCTAACTCACGATTAATCGCATTAATGCCGTAGTTAACTCGCGATTAATCGCGTTGATGTCATAGTTAACTCGCGATGAATCGTAATTAATCGCACATTTTTATCTATTCTAAATGTCTTTCTTTTTGTCCCATTATTTTTTCTCATTTTAATGCTCTTATCAACATGGAAAAGTGTATCGGCTTGCTTTGTGCAAATGTTTTTTATTGAAAACAACATTGGCATATACGGTGTTCAATTTCACACTAACATTCTCACTTGGAGCAAATAATCTCACACAATGTAACACTGTCCATCAATAAAAGGGTGAAAGAAATACTGACGAGGTCCTGATATTGACGAGGGGGGCGGAGAATTCGCATCAGCTGTGTGTGTGCGTGTGTGTGTGTGTGTGCTTGGCCATCATAAAGTGGTATTTCAGACTGGACGTGCTGCGATGATGATAGCTCAGATCACAACGACACAACACACAGATCACTTTGGTCTCGTCAATGGAACCATTTGGCAACTTTTTAAAAGTAAACTTTCCATTCAGAATCTTATTGGCATCCATTTCGGCGTCTCGCGCTCGTCATCCACTCAAAACGTAACGTTAACCAACTATTTGGCCGGCTCGCAAGCCTAAACAAGTGTGTGCGGCGTGGCTGTTGTTTTGTTTCCGGTCTAGCTAGATCCGCTTGTGCTTTGGTCGACGAAGCAACAAAACGTCCTCGCGCGGCGCAAACCATTGAAATTAATAGGTTCCACAGCGCAGCGCCACGCATGCCGCGTCCTGTTGCAAAAGCATGTGGAAAAAAACTACAAAGTTTGCTAGGCCAAAAAGACCGTTAATCGCGCGATAAAAAAATTAACGCCGTTAAAATGGGTTTGCGTTAACGCCGTTAATAACGCGTTTAACTGACAGCCCTAGAAGCAAAGTTTTTATCATGCTGATCATTTAGAGGGCTTGAGTTTATTAGCGTATCAGATCTGATACAGTAGACTTCATTGGGTTACTTTAGCACCTGTGCGCTGGAGTTTGTGTATTAGAGAGTTTCCTCCAGCTCGTGTTGTTTATATGTGCAGTATCCACCAGACGGTCAGTGACCGGCCAGTCTGAGCCTGTCTAGTGCTTTAACAGCTAGAGCTTTTATTTGTGCACACTTTTAACACGTCTATGACTTGCAGAAACCTGTTGATTAAAGCATGTGTATTCACTGTGATGGTGTGTTGTGTCGTAGGCCGGGAAGCGTGTGGGAAAGACTCTTCATGCGCCGCTCATGGATCTGCTGCAGAAAGAAGAAAGTCTTGGCAAGAAACGACAGAAAGTGGGATTCCTTGGATAGCTGTTTTTGTTTTAGTTTTTCAAATAAATTAGTTAAGTTTCTTACGACGTTTGTCATGTCTTGCTTCATAGCTTCGGCTAACTGAATGAATCCTCTAATGCAAGGTTATATAACGTTGCAGTTTTTGTTTTGCTCATTTTTCCAGGCTAGGCTGAACTCAGACTAGGCTGGTTTTAATGGGGCTTTTAACAGATGACTAAATGTTTCTTCGTTCCCCTTATAAATCTGAGTGGTTTGAGTGCAATTTGAGCATTTGAGGCTTTTTAATATCTGAATTTAGCAGATGAGTAGAAAAGAGTCCTTGAAGTTGTTGTGAGTTGGTGATTTTTATGTCCCAGAGCTGAAGGATATTTTTGTTTTATTTGCAGATGTTAGGAAAAAATAATGTATTCGCATGAAAACGGATGTTGCGATAGTCTTTTCTTCCCTGTGACGCATATCCGAGTGAAACGGCTTCTCGAACAAGAACAAATGTGGGCGGGGCTTGATTTCGTCTGTGTGGAATTGATTGGATGGTTGTGGTTTTCTATTGGTTGATCTCATGTGAGTGACAGGTTGCCCCGCCCACATCATCAGAGAAGAGATGCGATGCAAGTGATTCTGATTCAAGATCAAAATAATGATTTGCACGGATAAATCATAATAAATAATGCAATATTCCATAAAAAATAAGAAGCGTCCATTTTGATTTCATGGTGACTTTACAGATTGACAGACGTGTGTGGAGCTGTAGTGTGTGTGTGTGTGTCTCTTCTGCCACGTGTCGTCTGAGGAAGATCTGAGCACAGCTGCTGTGAGCCTGGATCTATTCCATCCCATAATAGCTTTGCTTCTTCCTCTGGCCTGAACCAAAACAAACAGCAGGAATCACTGCACAGATGACAACCTCATACAGCAGAAGAATGCATGATGGGAGATGTGTCCTGATGAGACCTTGACTGTGAATGTGTTCTGAGCAACCTGAGAACCGGCTCTTCTGTGCAAGTCAGAATGTGGATCCAGTTTTATAATCTGCTATATAAATCATTGGGGGTTTTAAATGAGAGAAAAACATATTGGGGAGAGAAACTGGGCAAGGCAGTTTCTATTATTTATTATTGTTAATTAATTTAAAATGTATATTCAAAACACATATATAAGCACACCCCATTATGTCCCCACGGATGGCATTATCCGAAATCCCTGTCCTTTTTTTGGTCCGCGTGAGGAAAACAGCTTGTAAATCACACTACGCGATGTTTTATGAAAATGTAAAAGTGCAGAAGGTTTTCTGTGATGGGTGGTTCAGGTGTGTGTTCAGGTGTGTGGAGAGAGAATATACAGTTTGTACAGTATAAAAATCATGTCTATGGAAAGTCCCCACAAAGATAGCACTATGTGGTATGTAAATTTGTGTGTGTGTGAGAGAGAGTGTGTGATAATTTATCTGTGTGTGTGCTGTGAGGTGTGTGTCTGTTTTTGTGTGTTTGTCAGGAGGTGTGTATGTGAATTTATCTGAGTGTGTGTGTGTGTTTGTTTGTTTGTTTGTCAGGAGGTGTTTGTGTGTGTGTGTGTGTGTGTGTGTGTTTGTTTGTCAGGATGTGTGTGTGTGTGTGGTGTGGTGTGTGTGGTGAGGTGGGCGTGTGAGGTGTGTGTGAGTGTGTGCATGTGTGTGTGGTGAGGTGGGCGTGTGTGTGTGTGCGTGTGTGTGTATGGTGAGGTGGGCGTGTGTGTGAGTGTGTGCATGCGTGTGTGGTAAGGTGGGGGTGTGTGTGTGTGTGTGTGTGTGTGTGTGTGGTGAGGTGGGCGTGTGTGTGTGTGGTGAGGTGGGCGTGTGAGGTGTGTGTGAGTGTGTGCATGTGTGTGTGGTGAGGTGTGTGTGTGTGTGAGTGTGTGCATGTGTGTGGTGAGGTGGGCGTGTGAGGTGTGTGTGAGTGTGTGTGGTGAGGTGTGTGTGTGAGTGTGTGCATGTGTGTGTGGTGAGGTGGGCGTGTGTGTGTGTGTGTGTGTGTGTGTGTGAGTGCGTGTGTGAGTGCGTGTGTGTGTGGTGAGGTGGGCGTGTGAGTGTGTGCATGTGTGTGTGGTGAGGTGGGCGTGTGAGTGTGCATGTGTGTGTGGTGAGGTGGGCGTGTGAGGTTTGTGTGAGTGTGTGTGGTGAGGTGGGCGTGTGAGGTGTGTGTGAGTGCGTGTGTGAGTGCATGTGTGTGTGGTGAGGTGGGCGTGTGTGTGTGTGTGTGTGTGAGTGCGTGTGTGAGTGCGTGTGTGTGTGGTGAGGTGGGCGTGTGAGGTGTGTGTGAGTGTGTGCATGTGTGTGTGGTGAGGTGGGCGTGTGAGTGTGTGCATGTGTGTGTGGAGAGGTGGGCGTGTGAGGTGTGTGTGAGTGTGTGTGGTGAGGTGGGCGTGTGAGGTGTGTGTGAGTGTGTGTGGTGAGGTGGGCGTGTGAGGTGTGTGTGAGTGTGTGTGGTGAGGTGGGCGTGTGAGGTGTGTGTGAGTGTGTGTGGTGAGGTGGGCGTGTGAGGTGTGTGAGGACGTCACTCCTCCGCTCCTCTCAGGATGAAGACCGGCTGCAGGTCCAGGACAGCAGTTCTCCTGCGTGAGCGACTGAGAAGCAGAGATCTGTCCTCGTTCTCCAGACTTCAGCATGAGACTTCTTCTGTTCGCAGTCCTGCTGCTCCTCACACACACCTCGCAGCAGCAGAACACTCCCAGAAAGAAACCCAGCGCTAAGAAAGGTAAGACTAACTGAATTTTTCTCTTCAGTTAGATCATTTATTCATTTGGTTATTCAAGCTCAATAGATGTTGAGAAAGTTCAGAGAGAGAGTTGCTGTATGAAGAAAATATGCATTGATCTGTTTAATACATTTGGATGTTAATGATCATTAAATGAACTATTTTTCTTAAGTCGAATACAATTGTAAAGTTTAAAAATCACTTAAAAAAAACTAATTTTATATTATAAATTGTGTGTATATAATTACTTTTTCATGTGAATTTGTGGTGAAATTGGTTCCTGATTTTTCATTTGAATCATCCTCTGTCAAATTCATTTATTAAATAAAAAAATATATAATAATCAATAAGGATTTAAATATATTGCATTAAGAAAACAAATTAATTATTGTAATTCATCCATGCATTTTGCAGTTTTTATTTACAATTTTTTTGTAATTCCCATTATCCTCAATGATTCTCTTAACTGTAACACTAAAAAAGGCTTGATTTTCGATATAATTGAATATCATTTATTATTTCTCACATGTGCTTGTGGGTGGTTGTTGATTTTGGTCCCTGTCAGACTCAGATGCTCGAGCCAGCGCTGCTCTGGAGGAACTACAGCAGCGGATCAATGACATCGTGCAGGAACTGAATCTGGTAAAGGAGCAGCAGGCTCTGCAGACGGGTGAGAGCTCACACACTCCTGCCTTACTGAAGCAGCCAGGCGTTACGATATAGCCCTAACCCTAGCCTGACTCGTCTGTTTAACTGTCAAAAACTAAAAATGAACACATTGTACCATAGACTGTGGCGTATTGTTTGGATAAATAGAGTTTGTCCACTTGCATAAGACACATGGCCTCCACATCCACATGTAGCTTTTGATGTAATTCAGTCTTTGATCTATGAGGAGACGTTCAGACAAATATGTCATATTTTATGAGATTATATGGCTAATAATTTTAAAACAAACGCCAAAAATCACTCTTAGTTGCCATTCCAAGCCAAAGCAACAAGTTTGTTTGAAATTTGAACAGTTGGATATTTTTAAAGCCATATTTTGTACTTTTTATATAAATAAAGGTTTCCTGCACCAAAGTGAGTCATAATTTAATTTTAGATGATCGTTTCCCACTCACCCTTGGTCCCTTATTATTAAACTGCCTGTTTTATTCTGCACCTGAAGATATGTAAATGACCTCTGCTGTGATTGGCTTACCTGTGCGTATGGGCGTGTCTCACCAAACCGTGTATCAGGAAGGGAGGGGCAAGTTGCAGGTGTTATGGCCAGTCGTGTATGTTAATGAACTCAAAATGTCCAGGGTTTTAACTTACACTTTTTTATTTATTTTTTTACATTATGAGTCATTTAAAGATTGCAAATAATGTTTCTTTATTCTCCGCTAGTCTGCCTGCGAGGCATAAAGATCCCCGGCAAGTGTTTTCTGGTGGACACCGTGAAGAAGCGCTACCACACGGCCAACGAAGACTGCATCGCCAAGGGAGGAATCCTCAGCACTCCGCTGTCTTCCGACGAAAACACGCTTCTCCATGATTATGTGCGCCAGAGCATCGGACCAGACGCTGAAATCTGGCTGGGTGTAAACGACATGCAAATAGAGGGCGCGTGGATGGACCAGACCGGCTCAAACATCCGCTACCAGAACTGGAAGCTCCCGGAGCCTGACGGCGGCCTGGCGGAGAACTGCGCTGTTCTCTCCGGCGAGAAGTGGCTCGACGAGCGGTGTCGTGAGGAGCGGGCCTCCGTCTGCGAGTTCAACATCGTCTGAGATCATCCAGCGTGGCGATTCCCCTGACCTTTCCATTGCACAATCCTGCTTGCATTGTGTCTGCTCCGTAATTGTAGGCTATATTTTTTATCTTGAGGAGAGCAAAGATTGTAATTTTAGCTGGGCTACTCCATAAAAATGTTCAGATACAAAAGCGTATCTATAATCAAAGATTGAACACAACACTGTAATAAAGGACATTTTTGGACAGTCTCCATTAAAATCCAGCCAAAAACACACACTAACTAAACAAACATTATTGAATCCTAAATCAGATGGTCTTTTAGTAAGAAGTCAAGCCAACCGGTTAAAATCCAGCAGAACGATGATTATTTCAGATAGCTAGCTTTGTTACTTGTTTATTGTCTAACAAACTAATGTCTAGCCTGATATAACCTGAACATATCCTTTTATCTCAATAAAACGTTTATCAAATATGTGCGTATGATATTTCACACATTTGGTGTAAAACAGGCCCATGTAAAGTTCTACAGAAAATGTATATGCCCATAATTTATTCAATATTTTGGCTGATTTTATTATGCATTCACCTGCAATTGAGTGGTATACACAATGGTTACTGGCTGATATTACAGTTTTTTTTGTTTGTGTCATCAGTCGATATTAAATATTTTATTTTGCAAGCTCATTTCTGCCAATTTTTACATTTAGACTGCCTTGCATCATCTAACACTCACTCATAAGCATAAACAATGTTAAATGTAAGCTTTAATTAAATTAATATCCATTTTTCTAACTGATGCCTACATTTACTTGTATTCTTACTAATTTTTTATTTATTAAGAAAACAGCAAAGCTAATATCAGCCATTTATCAGTTGCCGGGCATGGCATGAAAATAATTATTAGTCAATCAATATCAGACAGAATTTTAAAAATAATTTTACCATGTAAAATACATAATACCTTTTAAAATCTGTTGTGGGAAATATAAAAACTGTCTTAATCTGGTCTGTGTGTGGTTATCTTCATTCTAAACAGAGGAACATCTATTAAAATATCTGAGAATTTATTTTAGGAATGCACAACGCAAATATACAGAATTGAAAAACAGAACCAGAAAACACGTATGAAACCTGGAGACAATCAATCACGGTTAAAACAAAACAATTATGCAATAGAGAAAGTCTTGGCATACTTCCAATGAAGGGATTAAACTCTCAAACGGCTTAATTCTGTACATTCAGGCTAAAAGGCCATAAAAAAATCTTTAAAACCAAACTTTTAATAAACTATACATGCAAAAAACACCTGTGACCACTAGGGCGGCAAAACAGTGCGTAGCCTTTTAGCATCAATTTTACACAACAACATTGTCTTTGTGTGCGCATTTTTCTCGGCTTGTAGCCAATGAATGGCTTTTCTGCTCCCCCAATAAAATTTTAGCGGTTTGAGCAGTCGAATCATCATGTGAATCCACTCCGCATCCGGCTTTATCCTCAAATTGCCTCCTCGTATTCCGGCTCAGTATTGGAATCAGTGTCCGATTCCATTCGTGGTTGTAGTCTGGATTCGTCGGCAGACAGGCGAATGGGATTTATATCCCCGAAACTCTTGAAAGTGTGCAGCTCGTTATCTATCATCCTACGATCTTCGAATCCTAAGCTTCCCTGTGATACCAGTGGCGTACGAGGCCTCTGGAGATTAAAGGTGTTGGGCGGCTTTAGGAAAGGCTGATATGCATCTCCATCTCCTCCTCTGCCTTCTATCGAATATTCAGCGGACGAATCCTTAGCCGACGGGATTGAGTCCGAGGGTCCCGTGAACGGACGGTACGCGTCCACCTGATGTCCGTTGCTCCAGGCTCCGTTGTCGACCTCTGAAGGCTGGTTCTTGTCCCCAAATTGTCCGTACATTGTTGGGTCATCAATGGAGGCGTAGACGTGGGACTCATTGTCTGCTCTGGATTTTGGGAAGGTGGCGTTACCCGGAAGGAAAGGTTTCCCTCTGGGCAAAAAGATGGAGGACCTATTGGTCTTAGGTTTGTTTTTCCTTCTAAAAGAGAAGAAAATTGTTTGAAAACGTATTGTATTTTCAAATTCATAAGAGAATACAGAAGAAAATTCAGACTCACTTTCGAATGACGCACACAACTATAAGTGTGATGATTAGCAGCAAAACCAGAACCCCGACTACGGCCAAGATAATGCTCAGGAAGTTCTCTGTATGAGGAGGAAAAAAGCAATGATTATCTGATTATCTTCCATTGCAATACTTCTAACAACACCACCAAGTATAGTGTGATCAATGCACAAATCCATTCAAATGAAGACTAAATGTCCTTGCACACTGAGTCCGAAATTCTCGTCCAAAATGTAAAAATAAATACGACCTCACGTTGTGTCAATCACATTTACACACTGCCTCTGAAACTTTCGTCCGTCATAAAAAAAATCGAATCGGGTTTGATTTTTTCTACGTATTTCGCATCCGTAGATAGCATTTTTAGAGGTGTTTTTACCATTCAGAGCCATCGGATGACGAATTCTAAGGGTGTCACGATTTCGATCTTAAATCGAAATAAATTTTTTTCCGAATCGATCGAATTAAAAAATGGAATCGTCGATGCTGCCACGCCCCCATGTCACGTCCGGTCGGCGTGCCAAGCGGGAAAAAAACACGCGTGTTGAAAAGCTGCGAGTCTATGGTCAACCTCCTCTAACTTAGCTACAGCCATTCAAAAGATAGCATGGCAACTGCAGATGCAGGAGACCCATCGACAGAACTTGAACCCCCTCCTCTTTCATTGAAGTCGCAGGTGTGTAAGTTTTTGGGATTTTCAGTGAGTTATGTTGACAACGTTCACGCTTCAAAAAAGCCACAGTTTACTTTACAGACATCCCAAGTTTCGCGGAAGTTCCTGGAGTCTCCCGCATATGGATAGCGGCTCCCTGATGCCCGCAAATTAGTTAATCTCCCGGAATCTAGAGTGAGCGAGCGAGCAAGAGCGCGCAATCGCGCATGCGAGAGAAAAAACTGTGCTCCAAACCGTATAGCGCGCGCACGGGAGAGAGCGAGAGATCTTGCGTATGTGCCTCATGAAGCGCATGTAAGACAGAGAGCATCCTGATTGGCCGGTTTCGGCTTAAAAAAAATAAATGTAAAAATCGAGAATCGAACCGTGACCTTAGAATCGAAAATTTAATCGAATCGAGGATTTGGAGAATCGTGACACCCCTAACGAATACGAATAAATTTCGGACTCAGTGTGACTCAGACCTAAACCCTGAAATGAAAGCGTTCTGCTCACTGGTTTCCTTGTGCAGAGTGACCTTAGAGAGCACAGCGAAGCGTCCGCTCTTGGGATCGCAGTTGGACATGTTCAGGTAGAAGCTCTGCTGTTGGATGACGGTGTTGTCGAAACTCTGATCTTCTCTCCAGGACTGCATTCGGCCTTGTGGGTCCAGCGGTCTGACCGCCACCTCTGTGTGGCCCGAGTCGCACACGGGCTGGCTGACGTTGGTGAGCTGCAGCTCGGCCTTGTGCTCTTGAGGAACGCTGACGATCCACGTGACGGACGAGGAAGGGTTCATGCCATCGGGCCAGTTGGGCGTCGGGAGGTACATGGATCCCGAAACCAATGGAGATACGGTGTAGATTACATTCTCTGTGAAGAAAGCAGGAAGACAATGCTATGAGACTCAACTCTATTACAACAGAAAACCAATAGTTTTACAGTGTTTTTGATCAAATAAATGCAGGATTCTTTGAAAAACATTAAAGGTAGTAGTTATTCCAAACTTTATACTTACCAGTGATCTCTGGACTCATGGCGACTTTAAAGAAAGGTCCTTTCTCCTGGCTCAGGTCTTTTATCGTTTTAGGAGTTACGGTAATGGAAACGTTCCCTTTGATTTGGATTTTTTGGATGGTGCCTTCAGGCAGAGAGCAGAACTGGCCGACGCTGGACCCGTCAGTCTCAGAGATCAGCAGAGAGACTCTCTCGTTACACTCCTTGTCTGGGACAGACTGGTGCAGGTTTTGGCTAGGGGACGTGAGGTCCACGGTGCCTTGATCGAGCACACGGAGCAGCCAGGTGAACTGATGGAGGGGAACGTGCAGACTGGGGTCCAGCGTGGGAATAGTGAGGGACGTCCCGCTGGTGGCACGAGAAGATGCACTCGGACAATCTAGAATTGCATGGAGGAAAGAGACGATCATGATAATTTGGTGAATGAATCTCAAAATGATTCTGTCAAGATTATGAATTCATGACTGTCATCTATCTATCTATCTATCTATCTATCTATCTATCTATCTATCTATCTATCTATCTATCTATCTATCTATCTATCTATCTATCTATCTATCTATCTATCTATCTATCTGTCTATCTGTCTATTGGCCTTTCTATCTATCGGTCTTTCTGTCTGTCTATCTATCTATCTATTCTATCTATGTATCTATCATTCTGTCTATCTATCTATCTATCTATCTATCTATCTATCCATCCATTTATCTATCTATCCATTTATCTATCTATCTGTATCTATCTATCCATTTATCTATCTATCTGTCTGTCTATCTATCTATTCATCTGTATCTATCTCTATCTATTCTATCTATGTATCTATCATTCTGTCTGTCTATCTATCTATCCATTTATCTATCTATCTGTATCTATCTATCCATTTATCTATCTATCTATCTCTGTCTATCTATCTATTGGTCTTTCTGTCTGTCTGTCTGTCTATCTATCTATCTGTATCTATCTATCCATTTATCTATCTATCTGTCTGTCTATCTATTCTATCTATGTCTCTATCATTCTATCTATCTATCTATCTATCTATCTATCTATCTATCTATCTCTCTCTCTATCTATCTATCTATCTATCTATCCATCCATTTATCTATCTATCCATTTATCTATCTATCTGTATCTATCTATCTATCAATCTATCTATCGGTCTTTCTGTCTGTCTGTCTGTCTATCTATCTATTCATCTGTATCTATCTTTATCTATCTATATCTATCCATCCATTTATCTATCTATCTATCTGTATCTATCTATCCATCTATCCATCTATATCTATTGGTCTGTCTGTTAATTTGAGACCACACCTGAAGAGTCAAAGCCAGACCAAACAAATTAATTTTTTCCATGTCTAATTGTCATTGTGTTCATGTGAGTCCACTGCGCATGTGTGCAGCATTTATGCGCTCCCAGTTACCGATGGTTTTGGTGGCCGTCAGCTGCAGGTCCTGCACGGGGCAGTCGAGGAAGGACAGGTCAGCTTTGGTGCCCGCAGGAACCACTATTCTCTCCTGCGCCACAGAGTTCAAGCTCATTTCACAGTACGATTCTGGGTTTTTATTTTCTATTTGCAGGCTCAATCCCTCCTCATTCCGGAGATCCACAGTGCAAAGATCTGAACACAATAGCAAGACAGACAGCATGCTATTTATCTGCAACTTTAAAGCATGACTTCATCAAGATCAGATACCCTAAATAGCAATATTATTTCAGACACAAAAAACAAATCTACATGCTTCTCCTTACATGGTATCCCACCCCTGAACACTGCCACGTTTATGTTCAAAGAAAGTCCAAGAACATTGGCTTTTGCTTCACAACTGCTAAGAGTCAGGCTGAAATCTCCCTGTTTATTGGTCGGCTGAACGTCCGTTGGTCCCTTTGTGAATGAAGTCTTGTCCCCCAGTGTATAATCAACCGAGACCTTATCATTTAGGCATTCTGGTGGAGTGTAATGTTGAAAGAGAACTGTGAAATTTTGCATTGGCTCAACAGCAAAGTTCCATTGAATTTTTCCTGCATTGTAGTGGCCTTTGCCGTAATGTGGTGTGAAGAAATCAGTAGATGACAGTCCTCTGGGCAGCTTGACGTCCACCACAACCAATACTGTAGATGCAAAGAACAAGACAAAATCATTTCCAATCAAAAACGAAACACTCAAGAAACAGTTCTTGTTCCACGTTACTTCTTCTAACCTTTTGTATCTGGTCCTCTGGACACTTTGAAGTCAGATGGGTTCAGGTCTGTGTCTTTGGGAACCTCCAGAGACACACGTCCTTTAAACAAGGCCTGGATACGACTGATGGTACCGTTCCGACAAAACGTGCCGATGGAGTTCGGACCCGATCGCTGGTATGTAATGATGGTGTAGGTGTGTTTGTCTGGACAGGATTCTGAAGGCTTGATCTGTCTCATTCCTGGAGCTGGAAAGTTCAGTTGAAACATCTCGTTTGGTTGAACCTTCAGATCCCAGTTGAAGCTTCTGCTGAACTCCAGGAATCGGGTCGAATCCGGATGCACTGCAATGTTGCTGCAGGCTGTCGACGAACAATCTGTGATTGGAATAAAAAGTAAAGATTTGGTGTTTTACAAGGTAATTTTTACCAAAATGGATAGTTTAGATTCTACATTTTGTCTACTCGCCGATTTTTTGGTTGATCTCCACAGTAAAGACGTCGCCCGGCTGAGAGCAGTTGAAAGTCACGTTGGTGGGCCGAGCTTCAGTGAGGTCCAGGTCGGAGTTACAGGTCTGAGACAGACCTTCATCCTTACACACATTACAGTCCAGACCCTGACCTTGCTTCTTTCTGAAGAGTACCTCGGTGCCAGGGTCAGGAGTCACCTCAATTTTATGACATTCTGAAAAAATAAAAATAATATAATATATGAATAAAAGGAGAAATAATAATAATAACTATATATATATATATATATAGATATATATATATAATATATGTAATGGTTCTCAGTAAAGTTCTCTAAAAAATCTAATCGTACTGTTCTCCACCCACGATTCAGCACGCACTTGCAATCTGACAATTTGCATAGGCATCTATAATATGGTTTGTTGAAAATAAATAAAACAGTCAGACAGAGTATGTTTCTGTCGATTGATACGCATTCTAGCTTCCCCCAAAACTTTGAGCCGTCATCACCTGGGTGTTGATAGCGTGTGAGCGCAAGTGAAACCTGGACAGAACACATTGCTATCTAAACTCATTTATGCCTTGCCAACTTAAACATTCGAGTATAAGACGCGAAAGAGAACTCGCGGGCGCTGTAAAAAGATGTGTGTGTGCACTCATCTGAAGCACGCACACGGAAAGCCGTGTCTTTAAGTCTTGCGCTTGAACAGACAAATTCACACAAAAAAGATTATATGCAATGTTGTTTTACATTTGATTACATTATTCAATTTCTGTACCTGAAAACTACTGTTAGATACCTAAATAACCTGAAAAGCGCTGTTTATTTTATTAGTATCTTTGCTCTTTTTTATTTATTTGTGCAGTTGCTTGTAGTTTGACTATTTTTTCTTATTTTCTTTATTTTTATTTGACAGTAGCTCTTTTTTTCCTGGACATAGCACATACCGAAACCGTGACCCTATAAACCCTGATAAAAACTGAACCGTAAGTAATTTAAACCTTTACACCCCTAATATATATATCTATCTATATCTATACATATGTATTGTACGTAAATGTATCGAACTCGTATCGAAGCGTGAACCCAAAACTGAGGTATGTACCGAACCGTGACTTCTGTGTACTGTTAAACCCCTAATATATATATTAAAAATAAAATAAAAAATCAATAATATTTTAAAAAATAGGGCCCTATTAAGAACCATTCCTTTCTAAACTTTGTCCATTTGCTAGATTCATTGGCAGTTGGTTTAATATTATTGTTGTGTTCTGTGAACAGGCCAATAAGGACTCATCCCATTAGATTCAATAAACATTTAAATATATAAATAAATATACATGGAGAATGGATGGATACATTGAGATGATTTTATTTAAATTTAAAATGTATTACATATATTAAAATTAATTAAAATGCAATTAAATTCAAATATAAAATATATCATATTCATATATTAAACAAAAATAGCATGTAATAATATATCATCAATTATTTATAAAATGAGGCCTATTCACATTAAGACATTTTTTTCTCAAAACTTTTCTATTTTGCTATTGACTTGAAAGGACTTGAAAGGTCTGTGTGTTTTATGGCTTTTTTTTATTAACAATTGGTTTCATTTATTATTTTTGCTTTGTGTGAACAGGCCTTTATATGAAGATTATGCAATACAAATTAAAATCAAGTATTTAGTTAATCTAAACTGCTCTTAGGCAGAGAGATACAAAACCCTACAAAAGTTACTAACCCTACAAAACAATCAATATAGAGCCAAGTAAAGAACAGCCTGGATGAAGCCGAGAGTTAAAAGCAAACAGAAACACAAAGGACTGATTCAGGACTTGAACAGGAAGAGGTCATGAGCGAACACACATGTCAGGCATTCTCGGATCCTCCCTGATTACATTAAAAAAACAAGAGAGCCTTGCCCATATAATAACTGGGAAATTCTGACGTTCCATATATGTCATAATTAAAAATAAACAGGTTGGTTTTTAAAGTGAAGTCTACTTTGTTGGTGCATATGCATTAATATCTTGTACCACACTTGATAGAAAGACAATCACAAGTTTAGACATGATTTTGATTGCACAAATCTAACTGACTTTCAACAAGACACAAGCAACCCAACAGAAGAGAAACAGCCTCAGCGTCTCATATTACTCCATAAGAATGACAACGTCTGCAAATATTTACTCATGTTTGTGACAATAACAGCCAGCGGACACACACTCCTCCAGCCTCTAACCTGAACCAGGTTAACACATATATCAGCAACTAAGATATAGATATAGATATAAGATAGACTGCAAATCGCACCTGTGAGTTTGTTTCTATTTCTGGTTTAAGCATATTTGGCATTACAAAGTCATGAACTGACATTTCTGCTGCACAAGAAAATGTAACAAAAAATAAATAAATCACACTTTCGACCCATTTTAATCATTTAAAAACCAACCATTAATACACCAGCAACACTCTGAAGGTCACTTTCAACACTGTGAAAGTCTACTGTCTCAAAAGCTGAAATGTCAATAAACAAACTGACATTTTCAGATATGCATTTCACGTGGAGAAAACAGTGAAAGCCTTATGTTCTTCCCTCCCTGCCCAAGAGCATGTTACAGCAAACTGCCCTCCATTTGTACAGTAACAGATTGTCAGTCAATAATTAACTAGATATTTTTTTACAGCAGCTGTCATTATTGCAAATGTGTTCATTTTCATAGGCCGTGATGGAGGCCAGATTCTGTGAAAAACTCTCTCATTTTATATTTCAATAACGATTTTATATAAATAAACACCCAGCGTATACATTTAATGAAATTATTTGCCTCATGCAAACTATTTTAAACAAACTCTCCTAATACCGTAACGTTAGTTTCATAAACTGTCGTATCACGAGAGCTATCTGACACATAAGCTCTTTATATCAAATATTTTTATGAATTTCAATAGATAAAACATTAAAACCTGGTAAAGGGTAAATAACTGAAACATGACAGTGACGAGGATGTTTAAACGTGTTTGGGGTGGTGCTTCTCTGAAGACTCACCTGAGATTTTGTAGATCTGCAGTAAAATCAATCCAATGAGCACAGGAACCACACACGAGCCCATCATTCCCCTTCAGAGGTTCCTAAACTTTCCAAAATATGTGTTTGTGTTTTAAAAATCGTTTGATTTAAATCCGTTAATCGTGCATGGTGGATTGAGTTAGTCTGACCGCACGGGCGCTTCCTGATTCTGGGACCTGTTGTGCACGCAGAAGGGCGTGTGCGCGCGCAGCTTACCTGTCCAAACTTGTGTTCAGCATCATTACAACAGCTGAGAAATGCGATTGAATTATAATTCAAGAAACAGTTTAACTCACATGACGCGAATATTTAAAGTGATAAATCCAAGAGATCTGACTTTAGAGGCACACAAATAAGATTAATCCTTTCATTTTCTTCGGGCACAAAATCCACTCGCTTCAACGTCTGTGATTTTTCAAGTTTATTAGATTGACAAACATCATTCTTTGCTTTTCCTCTGTCGAGATTGATTACTCAAGCACTTCAGCTCGATTTTCTGAGGACAATGATTAATATTCATGAGCCGTGAGCCAAGTCTTCCTCCATTGGAAGGTTATCGAAAAAACGTCATCGCACATAAGTAATATTCATGAGCCAGAACGGCTCAGCTCCTTTGGAAGGTTACCACTTAATTAATATTCATGAGCCAGGACGTCACTTTGATAGGTTGCGTATTTTAGCCCAGTCGTTTGATTGTTGCTAAAGGTGTTAACTTTGTAAAGTTTCTCTTTTTGAAGTAATACAAGGTAACCTAACCTTAAATAATGTTGCATTGATTTAAAAATATATATATTTTGTAAAAAAAAAAAAAAAAAAATAGTGAAATTACTTATAGCCTACTATGTGGCTATATATCCTCTTGAAAATGTCTAAAATCAATGCGCCTTTCTATTTCTGCAAATTCTTTTCACTTACTGTTGTGCTTGTAATGAGTCCAAACACGCCCGCAGAAAACAGCATTCCAGTCATGTCAATGTCAGCAGCTGGATGCTATTGCGGAGGAGCACTGCACTTTCATTAGGGAAACAGTCACCAAACACGAATAGATCAGTGGATTTCATAACCCATCCAACAGGTATCACAAGGGACAACACTTTCATCGTGTCTTTTTTTTCCCTCTATCTGATCTCTCCATTCACACATTTCCATTTCCATTACATTAAAAACTGTGTGAAAGCAGGGAATACATTATTGAAATGCATTTTTTATGTCATCGGAGATTGGTCATCAAAGCATTCAAATAGAAAATCGTCCCATTAGTGGTCTATTGTCTGATAAATGAACCCTGTGGTTACAGATTTAGGACATAGCCTACAGGAAGGAGCATTTCCTCACATTAAAATCTATTCAAGCAAAACATCCAGACATTTTTCTGAAAGGCATAAATAATTAATTCACAATCTTTTAAACCTTTTTGCACAATGTTATGTGCTTATACAGAACAAATAGGATTCAATAACCACCAGAAACTGGTCTGATTGGGAAATTCATCTCCAATAAATCTGTAAGTTTACATGTAAACAAACACAAATGTATATAATATTTTATAATTGTATATATATGTATTTATGTATTTTTGTATTTATTCTTTAGTTATGTTAGAGTAACTTCCAATGTTGATATCCAAAGATGATGTATGTATCACTGCTTTAATGTCTAATCCCCTCTTTCTTGGTATCAAAATAATCCTCTTTTGGTTTTATAATCAGTGGTGTAGGCTACAATATGTTATGATAAATTGCATCATGATATTTCTTACCATACTTTTGTGTAAAGACTGCACAAATTGTCCATGCTGGCATGAACATGCAAATAAAAAAGATGGAACAAAGACTTTCTCCCGGTCATCTTTGATTGGTCACCTCACCAAATGAACTGTGTGAATGACAGGACCTTTAAGAGTGTCTGATTATTTCAGATCTTTGCTCAATCTCTTTGAGACACCATCCTCCTGTCTTCTTCCGGCAACTTCATCGTCAAGTTAACTTCTTTGGATTCAACGCGACCACAGAACCCAAACGAATGCTTCAGCAAATCTCCTGCATCTGGACTTGTTCAGCAACCAAAACCAATGCAAGTACCCGTTTGCAGCCTTTAGATGCGTCTCTAAGTATTGTGCTCCTTTAAGGTGACTCTGATTCTCTGACGTTTCTCTAGGTTGTGGTTAACTGATTGTAATCTTGCCATTCTCTTCTCTTCTCTTCTCTTCTCTTCTCTTCTCTTCTCTTCTCTTCTCTTCTCTTCTCTTCTCTTCTCTTCTCTCTCTTTCTTCAATTTTCTACTTTCTTGATTCTGTATACAATCTTTGCTTAGTTTAGTTGTGTGTGTAGCCTACCGTAGTTTCGTTTATTAAACCCTTATATTCACACTTCATTGTCTCTGTGTTTGCCACAAAAATATCAAAGTCACTTATACCTATGCTATACCCTGCTATACTTGATTACTTTAGCTGGAAAAGGTTATTCTTTCTTGGCCAGGAAAATAACGTGTTTCCTAGAATTAATAATATATTATTCATTAGATGAACTTATTAAATAATTGTACTATAAATTCTGCTACAGTCAATTCTAAAACATTCAAATATTTATAATTAATTATAATTTGTTCAAATTAATTATATATATATATATATAAACATATATTTTAAACTGTAACTCATTACATAAGTGAATAAAAATAAATAGGATGAATTCAGGTTGATTGGGACACTTACACTTCCCCAATTCATCTCAATGGCAAAAAGTGTCTCAATCACCACTAAATAAATTAGTGAATATCAAGCGACTTTCATTAAAGTATTAAATAAATATTTATATTTTTTCACTTCTTTATAAACAGATCGATGATATATAGAATCAGAGAATTTCTCATTAAAGTAAATTTTGACATGTTACCTTGGTAATGAGACTACAATGTTTTCTTCTTTTTTAAATTGTTTATAAATTTTTTATAACATCATGGTGTTTTTTAGGTATACTTTGAAGATCCATAATGTTGTGTATGAATTTGGTAATCATACAATTATACATATATTGAGGTATTACCCTCTGGTTTAACACAGTATTATCACAGATCATTTTGTAATTGAAATGGTAGAAACAGCATTGACATAATTTATCATGTTATCATAGTTTGGTTTATTTTGATGTAAAAAAAAATTAGACACTTTTACTTTGTCAGATTGAGATGGGAGAAAACAATGGCATGAATAATTTTGAAAAGTTGAAAATAAATTTGGTAAACAAGCATTTTAATTGTACATTATCATTTGCAATTAAAGCTGGAAATTATAGATTTTAACAATGAAAAATAAATGATGAAAAAATAGCAAAACAAGATTTTCAATTATATAAATAATTTTCATTGTGTATTTCAAAATTAGGGCTGTAATTTCATTGATTGTGTTTGACAGGTGTGATGATCAGTGGAGTTGAGTTTTTACCTCTATCATTATTGCACGGGTTAAAATATGGATAGAGTTTCCCAGTGAAAGACTGATGAGTGAAAGAGTAGAGATGAGAGCTGGACTCCACATCATGAAAGGAGACCAGACCCTCCTCATAATCCACAAACACACCGACCCGCTGCGGCTTCACTCTCAGACACAGAGAGACAGGAGGATCAGCACAGGCTTCATATTCATTCTCATTCATCAGAGCCACAGTCCAGTATCCATCACTGGGTCTCGATGTGATCTTTCCCTTCCTGTTAATGGATTCTCTGGCCACTCCTAAATACCATTCAGTCTTTCCCTTCACCTGCACCTCAAAATAAAATCTCCCTGAGGAGAATCCCTCCTTTCCCAGGACACTTGCATAGTAATCAAATCTCTCTGGTTTGTCTGGGAGTTTCTGTATAATGTCTCCACATCTCACTTGTTTTCCATCATCAGACAGGATGAGTTTAGGATGAGCTGTATCAGGATCCAGAGTCACATCCACTGAGAAAACAGACAATATGAATCACAACTTAATACAGACTTGTAGTGATGATGATTGTAATATGTAATGAGTGTGTAATCATACTGTGTGTCAGTGATGAAGCTGTGAGTATGTGAATGTAATCTAGTGTAGGTCAGACACACACTGTACCTGCATACTGCTGTATCCTCTTCAGTTCTGTAGAGACTAATGACAATAACACATCAGCAGATCTTTCACATGTTTATGTGTGCAATTATAGACAAGATTTAAGGTTATTTTTAAAGAATTGTGAACAACATCATGTTTTATCTGATCAATGTGTGTGTGTGTGTGTGTGTGTGTGTGTGTGTGTGTGTGTGTGTGTGTGTGTGTGTGTGTGTGTGTGTGTGTGTGTGTGTGTGTGTGTGTGTGTGTGTGTGTGTGTGTGTTTTAGCACTGTAAGCTGTTTGAGCTTTAGGCCTGATATTTCACACACATCCTCTTCTCATGAAGATCAAATCTGCCTCTTAAACACATGATGTCTATTCATTTGATTTTCTGCTTTTGTGGTTTTGGTGAAACATTTAAAATTATTCTCTGCTAAATTGATTTGCAAACATTTGTTTATGGGAAACCCTTAGGAAATATATTCAAATATATTGATGGAACAACAGAAAGGACAAACAATCTCAGAGTTAATTGAATATTAATGTTTCTCTTCACAGTTTCCCCTCTATACAGTTTTATATGTTTTCTGATATTAGAGCTGAAAATGACCTGAAGAACTGTGAGCTGATGATAATAATGCGAACATCGAGTTTGGGACACAAAGATATTGAATTATTATTTGTATTTATTTTATATCTAAGTATGTCTATTTCTATTTATGCATGTACACAAGTGTTTGAAAAACTTAAATGTATTATAATGAGTTTGCACTGAACAGTTGAGCTGCGTTATCTAAACCAAAGTCCTTTTAGGCAAGTCATGCCACTCGGCCGCCATCTTGGCAACGCCTCCGGGCAGCTATTTCGGACTAACAAGACCAGGCTCCTATCTAAATGAATGGGCAGAGACCCAGAACTGCACTTTCACTGGTCACCGGGACATAAAAACTGCATGTATACAAACACTAATAAAATATGATAAAAATCGCTGAAAAAGTGTGATGACTTTGCCCCAAAATAAGGTTTAAAACGCCTTTTTCCCCACAGGTTATACTTTTACTACGCATGCACAAGGGTTCTCTCTTTCTCTCTGTCGTGCGCGCGCTACACAGTTTGAAGCACAGTAGTATGGCGTTATTCCCCTGTCAAATGTCGAGAGCGCATTATTGTAGCCCGAAAGTACATTAATATAATGCGCGAGCGTGAATCTCAATGCTCGCGCGTGGAATATAACGTTCCGAGCGCGAATCTCTCTGCTCGCGCGCGGGAACTGGGCGCGCGCTCTTAGATACACACTGCTCTTGTAAGAATTTTCTCTGGGCTCGCTCAGAGAATATGCCTGCACTTAAAACGTGTTCATTGCAATCGTGAATCTCT